TCGCCAGAGAAATGGCAGTCTTTCCGCACAGTCGCGGCAAACGTCATTGCAAAGCTGAGACGACAAGAGCGTAATAGATCATGCCGATGATAATCTAGCACGGTGGTAGGTAGGTTTTATATACAATGATACAGTAACTACGTACGTGACCATTTTTTGGGCAACTGACTTGACCTCTTAGAGGGGGGTGTGGGGGGACGTATTGACGCATTGACAGTGGTGGTGGTTGAAGAAACCAAATTGATGACTAACTGAGGGTAGTGCCAAGTAGATGCAACTTGTGACTGACTGCATCAGAACAGGAACGTACGATCGAGCTAAGGCTCAACCGCCCTCCGACGAAATACTTTACGGTGGTACCGGGGGGGATACGGTACAGCGGACATACAGGGAGTTTTAGTTCGGATTAAAGTTCCACACTACGGGGTACAGGCTTTCGATGCTTTCTCCTTGTATAAAAAAAAAAAAAAAAAAAAAAAAAAACATATTGGTTAAGTGGAAAAGTGAGTGTATTTCCACGAAGCAAGCACAGGTGGCAATAAAAGCCTTAGAAATACTTGCATAAATAGAGGGAGAGTGTGTGAACATTTTCTACATGGATTTTTTTTACTTACAATACGACTACGATTAAACACCGGATTTCTAATAAAACCATTGAAGAATATGTTTCCTGCAGGAATTAACAAAATTTTTCGTTAATTATTTTGAGTAAGAACCTGATTCTTTCAGCATTTTATTTCTTAGCCTATTACAAAAATTTATATAATTCGTGAGATTTGGAATTTTTTGTAGTTTGGGAGTCTTACTAGTGCCCAGTGAGGTCACCCTATATTGATGAGTTTTGACTATTTATTTTTTTATTATTTAATTTAAATAATTTTTTTATAAATTATTTGTAAAGAAATTTCATCAAGATTTTTATCAAGTAAAAGCTCCCATCGCTATACGATTTCCAAAAAGGGGAACTGATTTCCACATGAGTGAAACTCATTTCATTGTCACATATGAAAAATATGAATTTAAAGGCAAAAGGCCCGAAAAAGTATATATTAGGAATCAAGAAATTTGCATGAAAAAGCTTCCTAAAACTATGCTTATGATTTTCGAGCAGCATATACCTTTCTTGAATGCTGATGGGAGTTCGCAAATGCTGATACATATTGAATGAATAAAGAAAGCACGGCTTAGTGGAGTTTTTAATAGAATAGAAAAAGTGAGTGAGTTAAAAGGAGTAAAAACCTCGCATAAGAAAATTATTTAAAATAATTGGTATGTACAATTTATCCCAGCCTTTTGCTTCAAGTTTCACTTAAAGCTGTAGAGACACCAGAAATACATTGAGAGCGATAGATATGCTAGCTACTTGGCAGCTAGTTGAGAAGTTCAGAGTACGCATAACAGATATTAAAAATCAGTATCAATGGGTCATACAAAAAACGTTGCATACTTTTTGGCACACTATTTGTCGTAACAGCCGTATTCTCTCAAAGTCACAAACTGGTGTGATTTCTAATGCGCCTCAACGTTTGCCGCCACAACACAAATTTTTAAGTTTTTGTGTATTTTATCGAGCACTTAAAATCGAATTTTCGTGGCACATTTTGCGGTGCACAAGAAATCACAACAGTGAGGCGTTACGATTTGTGACTCTATTAGAATATAGGGGCGAATTCGAATTCGAATAAAAAGGTTGCACTAATAAAGCTATAAAAATAATAATTTAAGAAATTTAAATGAATTTCGTGGAATACCGCGAGTTTCTCAAAATTAATGTATCTATGCTGTTGTCGGTTAAAAGTACACCTTTATCCGACATTTATAAGTGTTTTGATTTATCGCTTCGCGAGGCGCTAAAAAATTCCACTTTGATTACATTTAACCTCGTAATTAGTACAATGTATTTCTGATTACCAAACTTTCCACCTAAGAAATATTAAGAAACCGCAACAAACATTTCCCTACCATCGATTTTTTAATACATTA